TTCTGATACCACTTCCTTCTCTAAACTTAGGAAACCCCCAGCCCAATGTCTGGAATGCCCCAGGCCTCAGGCAATAGTTGACTCCTTAACAAGAGATAGTAGCCCCTGGCCACACATCCAGAAAAGGTGGGAATGACATTGTCTAGGGGCAATGACACCATCCATGCTCCCCAAACTAACATCCTACCTGGGTCCCTGTCAAGAGCCTCTTCTGAAGGCAACTTCTCAAATCAAGTCCCAGAACTTGTTGAAACACATACTTGCACAAATACAACAAACCAGAATCTCAAAAGGGTGTAGCTGACACACAGGTGAGTCAAACCATGTCCAGACAGTTCTCAACTGGCCCACAGGAGGCAAGTCCTCAGTCATCCAACAGGGAGGCCTGGCCCAGCTTCCATCCCACCCGCTGTCTCATGCCAGGTGGAAGGGTGGGTCCCTGCAGGGCCAGGCAGCCAACACGCACAGCCAGAGATAAGATCTCGGGGATCAGAGGAGACAGGCTGACAGAAGACACTGCGTGCCCAGCTGTCCACAGCACAGCTTTGCCAGCCAGCATGTGATCAGCCGGGCCATCTGGGTGCTGCTCGCACACGCCCTCCCAGGGGGCCCAGGTTAATGTCTCAGCTAGGCTCGACTAGAAAGAGGACTAGAAAGAGGACACCGACTCCACTCAGAACCTCGAAGATCAGTCTCACCGGCTCTGGTGAGGCCCCCATCAATGACACAATCAACTTTGTGTCTACCCAAAAGTAGACACAAAGAGAACGAATGGGAAGAGGATAAAAACGGGAAGCTATAAGGAGATGAACAAAGAGTGAACTAGCACATGCAAATTTCCAGTTTGTTCACAACTCAAGAAAATGCGAATTAAAACAGGAGGCTGTTGCCTCACTTAACAATCAGGAAGGAAAGAGAAATCGGCCAGGGCTTGAAAGCAGGCGGGGGGGGGGGGGGTGGGTGAGGAAAATGGGCGGATATCGAGCATCGTATATAAAAGAGCAGAAGTGACTTCTCAGAACATTTTAGAAGGTTTTGGATATACATGTGTGCGTGAGAGCGCATGCCGTGGTGTGTGTGGTGGTCAGAGAACAACTTTGTGGAGTCAGCTTTCTCCTCCTACCTTTATGTGGATCCCAAGGAGCAAACTCAGGAGGTCAGGCTTGCTTTGCAAGTGCCTTCACCAATAAGTCATCTCACCTGCCCAAACATTTACTAATTACGTATTCAAAACCTTTAAAATATGCACATCTTTCTCTCAAATAATTTTAAATACACAGAGTTCTGTATTGACTTAATACAACCAATAATGTTCATGGGCCTTATGTTGTGTATTCTACACAAGCTTTAATATATATATATACACACACTCCAATATGGCTCACAGCACAGTTTAAGTGTGGAAAAGACAGGAAGAACTCGAACAAGATATTGATTAAATCCGTTGTGGTTTGGACATGACATGTAACACTACACAGTCATCTTAACGGCATGAAGAGACATTTATAACACACGGCCAAACTGAAGCACAGACTGCATGATATGTCTTAATGATGCTAGTTTAGGAACCGTAATGTGATGAGGCGTGTGCCGTCAGCAGGCCATGAGGCAGCATTTAAGAAAAGTTCGTCTGCCGACAGAATCACCTGAAGCACTTATCCTCCCCCCCCCTCAGCTTTCCTTAGGGAGCCTCGCACACACATACACACAAAAAGAAACCTTCAGTGCCAAGCAGGACAGAGTGGGTGTTGCGGTGGATGCTTGAAAAACGAGTAGAAAACGGTCAGACAGAGTGAGCCTGGTTTGGTGTGGGAACCTTCAGAATGGCCTTGTGGAAAGGGAACGGTCTGGAAAAAGCTCTCGGCTAAGGAAAAGCAGAGACTCCTGTTTAGGGGCACAGGCCAAGGCAGGTGTGGAGCAACACCACACAGTGCAGAAAAGAACCCGGAATGGTAACTCTAATTCCGGAGTTGGGATGCTACTGAGGTGGGAGGAGGGCCTGTTCCTCCTTTCAGGATTTCAAGCAGAAGATGGGGCTGGTGCTGTACAGAGGAGGCACAATGCTGGAGCAGAAGGCATGAGGAATGAGAGACACCTGTCCCTCACGGCAGCGGCCTTCTTGCTATCCTTCCAGCAGTGTAGGCATTTGCCCTTCTTCCTTCCGCCTGAGACACCCTTCCCTACACATCTCCCGTCTCTCCCTTCTGGCTCCAGGTTGGAGAGGCAAAAGTCAAAGTGGAGTGGGAAGGGCAGGCGGAAGCAGGAAATCAGAAGCGCACGCAGTTCTGAAGAGGAAGAGACAATGAGCTAGAATTAAAAATTTGAGGGAAGTGCAGGGGGACATGAGATGGGCGGCAGCCACCAGGCCAGGAACCTGTGCCCTCTGCATACACACCTGGCACAGCCAGGAACTGGCCAGCCGTGGCAGATGCTCAGGGATCACGGGCCTGGGAGGATGTGTGTCAGTTTTCAGGCCAGGCACCTTAGCCACGAGACCCCGAACCTTGATGGGGGATGCTTGCACCCGTGGATGTGCGGCAGTTTCCAACCTCTATTCGCTGCTCCCTTTCACCTCAGGAGGTGAGCGCCTCCGCTGTAACACCCATGCTGCAGATGAAATGACTGAGACAGAAAACTAAATGACTTGCCCCGAGCCCCCAAATGCAGAGAGGGGGCAAAACGTGGGAGCCCTGAGCTCCCTGGATGCCATTTTCCCAAGCAAAGGCATGGTGTTGTGGCTGTACACGTTGCACGAGGTTTTGCTGATAGGAAGTTCTGCCTCCAGCACTGTGACAAAGGCCCTTCCCTGAAGAGATGGACTCTACGGTAACATAACTACAGAGTGGGAGGAAAGAGGGAGGAGGGAGGGAGGAAGAGCCACAGGGGACACTCTGGACAGGCAATGAGTGTGCCAAATGGTGGGGTAGGGAGTGTACAACAGCCATTCCAGGGCTGTCCAGGTCAGTGTGGGCCAGCCAGCGTCTCCCTAGCTCAAACGAACTTCAGCTCTGCCACTTACTACACTCAAGACGGCCTCTGAGCTTGGAACCACAGGGGCATGGAGTGGCATTTCTCCACTGTGCAGAGCTGGAGGAGGCCGCTGGGCTGGTGCTCCAGGAAACAAAGGCAGGTGGCCTGTTCTCCCCTGAGCCCGCATGGACCACAGCCCAGAACTGCAGAATAAGGCCTGGTGAGGGCACTTCCTCCAGTCTGTCCCGCGGCCTCGGGCTGAGTCTGATAATGCACAGCGTGCCACTCAAAGCCGCTGAGCGCCAGCACACGCTCAGTCCAAGCTCAGTGGTGGGGAAGAATCCTTGTGATGGATGGCCCTGTACCTTGACTGTGATGGTGTTTACACGAGTGCACACGCCTGCGTGCTCACACAAGCAAGCACAGAGCTCTCTAGTAAGATCCCTTCTATTCACACAAGGGGTCTACACTGTAGTCGGCGGGAAAGCTGACCTCAGGTTTCTGTACTCTCTCTCAGTCTGTGTGTGAATGTACAGCCATCTCAAAACAGCGAAAAGAAATAAAGCGGCTGCCATATTACAGCGCTGGAGAAATGGGTAGTTACTGCTGCCCCACGCTGCGCCGAGGACGCAACTTCACAGATCCATGAGCTTGGCGGCTTGGGAGTACCCTTGGGCAACACAGGGGATGGGTTGGGGGCAGGAGCCATAGAATTACCTTTTGGAAACAGGGTAGGGTCTCATTATAAGTAAGAGAGTCCCCAAATGTGGAGACCCTGCCACTCTCCACAGAGGGTCTGCAACGGAACCCCACTGTTACTAAGGGACTGTCCCTTTGCCAGGATTCTGCAGACACCCTGAAAATCTTACACCAAAAGACTCTTTGGTTCTGGTCAATAGTCTAGCGAGGGCTCCAGAGACCAGGCGAATGAATCCCAGGCCTTAGGCGCACCTAAGAAGCGTTGGGGGGGAATTCACCCTTGGTGACCGGGACCTCTGCCTTCTTCACCCAGAACACCACAGAAACAAGGCGACTTATCTCCTAATCAGTAAAAGGCTCGAGGGACTTCTCCCACAGACCCGGGATGGACCGACTTCTCCATCCCGCGGGGTCCACACCGTAGACCCTCCCAGACTAAAGCGCCTGCAGGGAAGGAGCCGCCCCCGCAGAGGGGAGAAGCGCCAGATCCTATCAGCCAATTATCCAGACACAAGGCTACCCGCAAGTTCGGGCACGCTCTGCCTAGGCACAAGCAGCGGGAGGGGCCTGGGCGCGCCCAGGGGGTCTGAGTCTGCGCCGGGGTCGCGCCCCGTAGCGGATTGTAGTCTGGTCTGGGGGCAGCTCGCCCAGATGAGACTTTATGGGTCCTTGCACCCTAGAGACCAGGAGGATCTAAGACAGGGGAGCGTCTGGGAAGGATGTCTGGGTAGGAAGGGTGCTCAGGGCTGGGTCGAAGAGGACTGGACCTGGGCCAGGTGAATAATCAAGGGGTCTGGGCCTTGGGGTAGAGGGCGCCTGGGGCTCCAGGTCTGGTACCCAACGCCAAACTGGAGGCTGGGCCAGGGCCCTGATCTGGGAGCCGACCGCCAGTCTGCTCCTTATAGCCAAGTAGGTGGCGCAGCCAGGCCCCCCTCCTGGTTCTGGCCCCCAAAGACCCCCTCCACGACCCGAATCCCAGCAGTCCTCAGCTCCAAGATCGCCCCGGAAACACAGCCCTCCCCTCCAACGTGTGGCGCTCCCGGGTCGTCTCTAGTTCGTGGAACAAAAGAGCAGCTCTCGTGGAGCGGGTTCAGAGCCTGAACTGACTGTCCCATGGCCCTCGGCCGCGGGGCTTTGTGTTCGCACGGGGAGCAGGGAGGACCGCCGGGGCCGCGGAGCACATCCCACGGACCCCGCGCAGAAGCATGCAGAGCCCAAGCTCCAAAGTTGTCGGTGGCCTCCCACACCGCTCCAGCTCCCCTCCGCGGGGTGGCCCATTCATTTGCCACGGGGACGAACGCAGACCGCCACGGTGGGCCTCCGGCACTTACCTTGCTCTTGACTTCCACAGCGCTGCAGTCGTAGAAGCGTAGGGTCTGAGACTTGTGAAAACTCCGGTTCATGGTTTCGGCCCCACTCAGCCTCGCCTTCGCCCTCGCCGCTCAGGGGCCGCAGACAGAGTCGAGGCGGAGACGCCCCCCGCCGTCTGCCCGGGCCCGGCGGCGGGCCCGCGCTCGCTAGGGCGCCCGGCTGCACCGAGTGAGGCGGGTCGGAGCTGGGCTGGCCGCGCGCCTCGGGGACTCCAGGGGCCGCGCGTGGGAGGAGCTACGGGGCGCCACCCCTGCGCCCCGCCTCCCGAGCCCCGCCTCCCGCGCCCCGCCTCCGAGCCCCATCAGGACCCGCCCACGCCACGCCTCCTCCCGGTGCCCTTCCGAAGAAAGCTCTGGACCATTTTCTGGGCCCACGGGTTTGCCGTCCTCAAGGCGGTCCGCCTGGGAAAAGGGTTCTTGGTTGATTCCTAAGATGCATGCTAATGAGAAGCACCCCAAGCCTGATCCGATTGGGCTCCACCGGCCTGCCTTAGTTGCCAGCTTGTAGGTGGTCCCGCCCTTGAGGTGGGGATCTCTTAATGCACAGTCCAGGACAGGCGGGACGAAAAACGACAAGATAATAAACCAATGCCAAATTGTAACGAAGTAGTCAATGTTAAAACAAATATGCAGTATTAACAAGAACTAAAACTGTTCTTTAAAAAGCGAGAGAAACAAAACCTTAAGGTGGATTTAAGGGTTTTTTTTCCTAAGGCAGTTTGTAGAAAATAGGTTTGGAGAAAGACAGAACTGATTATTAGTTATATCATAGGAGACCTGTTGATTGAGAGCACTTAGAAAGAGGGGAGAAAAAACAAAAACAATGTGGAACCTGACTCCTCCTCAAGAGTTTGTAAGAAGTTAGGACGAGACACGGGCTTTAAAACTGCCTTGAGACGTCTTAGGCATTATTGTAATTTACAAGCTAACAACGAATGAAAACGTCGTGATAAAGTCACCGCAAAGACGTAGAGGCTAGAAGTGAAATCACCTGCAGTGGTGCTGCTTAGCAATCAAACTGTACTAACCTTGGGGTATGTTTCATTTCTGTTTGCTTTTGTATACACTGTAATATTCTTTATAGAATTGTCATCATACAACTCATCCTGTTTTGCAATATGTTTATGTCAGTACCTGAGTTATAACGGATGTTTTCGTCAGGTTTTAGAAAATGTTCTTAAAGCTGCGTGCTGTGTAACAACTACAAAAAGCTGCTTATGTGAATAAAGGTATAACTTCTAACAGTTCCATTTTATTGGCTACGTTTGCAGTTTATGCATACTAATAAATATGCTCAATTCCATGTTTCACTTATTTCTGAGGCTTTTTAAGAAATATTGACTGGGTGTGTTAGCATACACTATAACCCCAGCACTCGAGGAGGCAGAGGCTGAGGCAGGCAGATCTCTGTGAGTTTGAGGCCAGGCTGGTCTACAGAGCTAGTATTGCAAATGTTGAACTTACTTACTCCTAAATTCCAAATCCACCTATTTTCTTGGGCTTTTTTTTTTTTTTTATATTGACTCTTGATCAGATTCTCTGAAGCAGAGAGAGCCACCCTAAACGTGGACAGCAGCTTCAGGTGGACGCAAAGGTAACAGGGTAATGGAAAAAGAAACTTTGCTTTTTGCCGGCTCGCCCTCACTCTCATTGGCATGTTCATCTACCCTGTTGCGGCAGCATACTTTGCTGATGCTAGAGCTGAGTTCTTTAGCTCCTAACGTGGACTGAAGACCTCCAGCTCTCTAGGGATCCTCCAAGCCTTCAGCATCAGTTTGAGATTACTCAGACATCCATCCATGAACTGAGCAACTACAGGATTCTTGGCCTCTCTAGTAGGAGTCAGCCATTGTCTGACTACCCAGACTATATCCTGTAAGGCAATCTAATAAATTTCTCTGCATGTGTGCATTTTCATGAGTGTGTGTGTGTGTGTGTGTGTGTGTGTATGGTGTATTCATTCATATTCATTCATTCTGTCACTTCTGGTCCTTTAGATGGGCCCTGACTAACACAAGCTATAAGCCAGACATTTCAAAAATGGAGTGGTGAATAACATCTTGGGAGTGGGTAGGGATGAATGGCCAAGAGCAGGCTCAGGCAAGGTGGCAGAGGCACACACCTTACATCCGGCAGAGCCAGGCAGATTTTTTTTGAGTTCGAGGCCAGCCTGGTTGACAGAGCGAGTTCCAGGACAGCCAGGGCTACCCAGAGAAACCCTGTCTTAGGGGTGAGGTTAGGTTCAGGACTCTGGGAGAGAAAGGTGAGGAGGCACCAAGATTCCAGTTGTCCTTGGCTGGCAACAGGTCAGCCAGATGGGAGCAAGATGGTTGTGCGAATCCTGGGGCTCAGGGTGGGGCTAAGGCCTGTGGTGCCCACCTGTTCCATCACTACTGAATCCAAACTGCAGCTGAATGACACCCCCCGTTAGCTGGTGAGCACGGCAGCATTGCAGGGAGGCTGCACGCGGATCTTAATCACCTGTTGCCCACAGAGTGTGGCTGAAGGAGCAGGCAGCCACAGGAGGAAGCTGCTGGTGCCCAACTGTGCACAGCCAGCGAGTGCCTGTGAAAAGCTTTTTAAGCCTTAGAATTTCAAGCTACTCCATATAAGGCCCTGGCCGGGCAGTCTGGCTTTCCACATATCCATGGAGCCACAGAAACATTTGAACCCTTACTGGTAGACTGGTTTTAGTTGAAGATGACTAAAGAAAATAGGGATAGACAGGCCTAATCTTCCTCAAGCTATGGCTTCAAAGAATCCACCAAGACCCTGAGTTTGGTGCCTCGGGCCTTATAGTCTCAGTTATTTCGGTGTCAAATTAGGAGGACTGAGAGCACAGAGCCAGCCCGAGCAGTATAGTGAGATGGTCTCAAACTAACCAAACAACTTATCCACCCCTGGTAAACGAATGTAGATTCTGAATATAGCCTGCAGGTCAGTGTTTTCCAGCCAGTGGGTTGCGACCCCTATGATGGGGTTGAAGGACCCTTCCACGGGGACCATCAGAAAACATAAATTTTACATTGTGATTCATAACAGTAGCAAAATTACAGTTATGAAGTGGCAATGAAAATAACTTTATGGTTGGGGTCCCCACAACATGAGTAACTGTATTAAAAGGTCACAGCGTTAGGAGGGTTGAGAACCTCTGCTCTAGGCTGTCGGTCCTTGAAAGCCAAATAACACAGAACTTCAAAATCTCACATTTCTAGATAGGTAGAGGCTCAAAACATTTTATCAGAAAGAAAGGAGATTGGCAACCTTGGTTGCTTTTTCAGCTTTTAAGATAATAAAACACCCCTAAAAGGAGCTGTTTTTAGGATCACTTGATGATAGAGAAAAGCAGTATTGAGAATTTCTAGACCATTCAGGCAGTGGGGCTCATGTTGCTGCCTGTACTGAAAAAGTTGACACCAGCCAAGAGGCCTGGATAGAAGACAGGTAAGGCCTGCGCACTCACAGAGCAGCCCACCGGAGATCTCAGGAGTGATGGTGCCAGGGTCTGCTCAGTGGTTCGTAAGCAAGCCACCTTGCCCTGCCCTCCCCTTTGCCATGGGAAACTTGGCAATGTCTAGGAGCATCCACTGTGAGCAAGGCAGGGTGTGCTACTTACGGCAAAGGCCAGTGGATGCCAAGGGGGCAGCCCTTATTACAAAAAGGGACTACCCAGCCAACCTTTCAGTTGTGCCAAGGACTATTGTTTTCCACCTTCCCTTCCTGCCACTCATTCTTCACCCTCATCTTAGGTCCCCGTAGGAACCTCAGTTTGCAGAACTCTTCTGCACATTTTGAAAGGCAGGCATGTGTTGCCCTTGTTTTTGTCTCTGAGTCTGGTGATAAAGACTGGGGAAAGCCAGCCTGCTGTGAAACCAATAAAAATAAATATCAGGCTCTGCTCTGCTCTGAGCTCCTCAGCACTTCAAAGAAAAGCAAACCATGCAAGTCACATCTGTGTACAAAAGATGAAACACTGAAAAATCTCATTATGGAAACTTTCCTTTTAAAAGAGTACTTTGTTGTGAAAGTTCCTAAGAAAATGGGTTGAAATAAAATAAAATTATAAATATAAGATAACTACTTAGTGGCTCAAGTCCCATTTCCTCGTAAGGCAATGGACTCCACTCCAGAGGGATCCACTCAGACTTCTGCTGTGTCCCATCAGGCATCAGTGTATGTAGGGAGGACCCTAGAGGTTCCAATTCAGAGGACAGTGGACATCGTGGGTGCTCTGGGTTCTGGCCAAGGCTTGAGATCAGTCAGAACCCTGGGGGTGGGGTATGGCACCTGGGTGGATGCCAAGTATGCCCTGCCCACAGTTTTGCCCAGAGCCTTTTCCAGTTATTACAGGGAGAATGGCAAATGGGAGTGACCTGGGCCACTGGGTGCTGCTGAGCCTGGCGTTGTATCTCATCATCCAGTCACTGTGCCTCCGCTGGTTGGTCTGTGAGCTCATCTCCTGCCTGAGGTGTTTCCTGTCTCCACCCTAGTGTTGATTGTCTTCTTTATCTTCTTCTACAGCTGCTGGATTTCCATGTGCTTTCACTTTTACTTAATAGATTAACGCTTTCAAAGAGGTAAAACTCTTCTGCTTTGTTTTATTTTTAAAAAGAAAACACTAGGAACAGCATTCTGTAGACCTTCCCTGAGGCTCCCCCTGCCTCTGCTCTATCTCCGGAGTTGTCCTGGCATCTCTAATGTCCCCTGTCCCGACACTAGTCACAGTGTATTCATTTTATGTCTGATATGCCCAGTACTGGCAGGTAACTAAATAGATTCTGGGTCCTGTTGAGCAGCAGGCTCAGGGTTCTGTGATACCATGAATGGTCCACAAAGAAGTACAGGAGACAAAGAGGATTTAGGACTTGGGGTCCTTTCTGATGGGGGTGTTCTGTGCAAATGCCTACTGTCTGACCCCCCACCTGACCAGGTGATGTGTCATAGGCACTAGAGTAAGTGGTTGGTTCCCAAGGACGATTCATTCATTCATTCTTTTCTTTTTAGCTGTAACAGGTTCTAGTGGTGAGTGTAGAATATTACAGGGCAAAGAGAAGAGGCAGCAGGATCTCCCCCAAAAGAAGCAGTTTAGAGCACAGACCTACAAACCATAATTTTAAAGCCAAACAGAAAGAGGCGGCAGACAGGAGCAGTGAGGACTGCCACTCACGG